AATTTTTTTTTCAAGTTTCAGGTTTTTAAGAATCTCACCAGGTGCTTCAGTGAACACCCCTGGGTTTTCTGGATAATGAACAGAAACCAAACACAATTGAGTCTAAAGTGTGTCTTCATTGCCCTCCTTCTTTTCCTAGTCATGAAGCTAGCCCATTACTGTAAGTTATATGATGGTCTTTGCAGCAGAGGGGAACCCATATTAGTCTTCAGCAAAATACAGCTACTGCTGTACGTTTTCTCTTCACAGATGGTGGAAATCAAGCAGATCAGCATTATTCCCCATGAAAAGTAGATGGATGGATTCTACAGTTTTCAAGCCATTCATCATGTTTGGGAGGGGGAGCAAGAACAGCCATCAAATGACACATTAGAGTCACTTCTAAGAACTCCCACCTAGTGAGGCATTGGGAATCATGCTTGGGGGTCATTATTTTCTAGAGAGGATCCAGATAAATTGCCTCCTCTCCCTCTTCTTCCACAAACATGTCCCTTAGTTTGTTCAGGGAAGGAAGTGGTGGCTTGCTCAAGTATCAAAGGGAAAGAAGAATTTATGGAGATTTTAGGAAAACACTTTAGTGCTGTGAACTGGGAATTTAAAGTCTGGAGTCTGACTTTTAACAAGCATAAGAACACTTAAAAACAAGAGTTAGTGCTGCCCTTTAGGGCAGTTACCCTGGAACTCTGTGCACTGATTTCAACAATGTTGTCATAGAAAGTTCTTCTTTGAAATTGTTTTTTCCAAATAATTTCCTCTAGAGTGGCAAATCATTATCCTTTGACCATGGATGAGTCTTAGAGCCAAATATTTGAAAAGGAACAAAGTAGGGGACTCAGGTGGAGAATCAGGATCTTAACATTTGTGGTCAGAAGTATAGCACGTACTAGTATACAATTCATAATTTGAAAGGATGGGTAGGATTTGGCGAATGATGGCCTGTAGTCACAAGGCAGGGAGGATTCCATGCTGGGTGACTAGAGAGATAATACTCAGGGTTGAATGTAGGCACTGACCTAGTTGTTCTCACTCTCCTAATAGTTGAGCCTTTCTCCATCTCTGAACTGCTTCACCTCATTTCCTTCTCCTCCATCCTGGACTATTTTTATAGCTGGAGCTTCCCTTTGTAGCCTAGTCTTCTCTCTCACACAGTCATCTAATAATCTACACTAATAAAAGAGAAACATGCAAATTGGTGTCACTCTGGCACACCCACCAGCCAATCAGAGTGACTATGCAAATTAACCCAACAAAGATGGCAGCTAATTTGCATATGCAGGCACAGAGCAAAGACAGAAGGCTCAGGCCAAAGTGAAGACTGAAGACTGAAGAGGCTTGGCTTCTCCCCAAACCTCATTGCAGCCAAGGGGAGAAGCCAAGCTTCGCTGCGGCCGGAGGGGAAAAGCCTAGTCTTGAGGCTTAGCTTCTCTGCTGCGGCCAGACAAAAGGCTTGGGTCCCGGGTGCCGGAAGAAAACCGGTGCCGGCAGCCAGAGGAAGGAAGGCCTATTGCACGAATCTTCATGCAATGGGCTTCTAATAACATATATTAGACATAGAATCTATCCTATATAATAAAAGGCTAATATGCAAATAGACCGAATGGCAGAATGACCAGTTGCTATGACATGCATTGACCACCGGGGGCAGACGCTCAACCCAGGAATTGCCCCTTGGTGGTCAGTGCACTCCCACAGGGGGAGTGCCGCTCAGCCAGAAGTTGGGCTCATGGCTGACAAGTGCAGTGGCGGTGGCAGGAAGCAGGCCTAAGCCATCAGTCAGATATCCCTTGAGGGTTCCTGGGCTGCGAGAGGATGCAGGCTGGGCTGAGGGACCCATCCCTGAGTGCATGAATTTTGTGCACAGGGCCTCTAGTATATATATAGGGTATCCCAAAATTCACGCAATAAGTAATTTTGATAGAAAACACAGGTTTTTAATTAAAAATTGTAAATTTTTTTATTGATTCATAAAGTATACAGTATAAGGTTATGTATGGACACACAGTATAGGGTGTGTGTAATAGCACATCGGGTAAATGGCCTTCACAGCTTTGCTGGCACATACACAAAGCCATGGTCTTCATTGTCCCTGCTCCTGGGCCATAATTGGTACTTGGTAATGCTTATCAAATTGAAGGGATTGAAATCAAAAGGCAACAGATATTAGAATCATTGATTGACCATGCTCTTCATTGACCCTACTCCTGGGCCATCATTGGTACTTGGTAATGCTTATCAAATTGAAGGGATTGAAATCAAAGGGCAACAGATATTAGAATCTGATTCAATAAACCAAGTAAAATTAGGCTTTTATTTTTTTGTTGTTGTTGTTGCTAATGCTCACGCAAAATTCAAATCTTGCGTGAATTTTGGGACACCCTATATAAAAGCCTAAGCAACCGTTTGACCGGTTGCTATGATGTGCACTGACCACCAGGGGGCAAATGCTCAATGCAGGAGCTGCCCCCTGGTGGTCAGTGTGCTCCCACAGGGAGAACGCCACTCAGCTGACCGACGGGTGCCAGACTGCAGGGCTCACGGCTGGCCGTCGCAGCGGAGCGGCAGAGAGACTACCAAGGGATGGCGGCAGGCACAGAGGGGCCGGGATGATCAGGAACAGCAGGCAGGAGCTGCAGGCAGAAGTGGCAGGCAGTGTCAGACTGCTGGTTTCAGCCCGATTCCCGCAGGCCATGCTGAGGGACCCCACCAGTGCACAAATCTGTTCACCGGGCCTCTAGTATATTATAATAACAAATAAGGGCATGAAAAATCTCACTGTATCAGTGGTCCATGGAGGAAGCTATGTGCAGAATTTTGGAACAGGAAAGAAGACCCAGAATAATTACTCATCATGCTCCCAACTTGTGCTCCTTCCTTTCCAAGTCTGACCTATATGAGTTTCTATCTTGAAAAGCATGTTTCAAGGTCTCTCATCTACTTTTTACACTTTTAAAATTTTTACTTATATCAAACTGATACCTATTCTTAGTAAAAAAAATAATAAAAATCAATCTAAAAAGTTATTCCAACAATAGAAGTTTCCAACTGCATCCCTCCCCACCCCATTCACAAGGAGCAACCACTTTCAGTCCTTGTAGCTGTTTCTGCAGACATTTAAATAGCATGCACATACAGCTATTTCTGTATTTTTCATTTTTAGATACTACTACTAACTTCCTGCTATGATCCTTGAGAATTTGACATAATATTTGTTCCCATTGTTGTTTTTTCTGGATGCTCTTAGGATCTTCTCCTTATTCCTGATGTTCTGGATGGGGCTGTATGGTGTATGTATGTGTGTGTGTCTTTGGCTATATATAGATTCACTGTGTCTCGAGACTCTGTACATTGGTTCTGAGAAACTGTCCATTATTTTTTTAGATTATTACTAGTAGCTTTATTTTTTAAAAGTAGATGTTTCTTTTTTATTGTTGACAGTATTACTTATTTCTTTTTTTATAATTATTTATTTTTAGATATTACCAATGTGTCATCCCCCCAATGTCCCCTCATTCCCCCCAATCCTGCCCTCACCCTCACCCCCTGTTGTCCACATCTATCACTTATGCTTATAGTATTACTTATTTCTAAAGTTTGTTACACTATCATTCCCATGGGAAAAAAACGCACTGTATATCTTTTTTTATTTTTTATTTTTTGTCTAAGGCCTCTGGCCATTCAGTGGGGAAAGAGGGAGGGGGAGAGACAGCGAGTACAAGGAGCAAGGGAGCCCCAAGACCATTCCCATGCCCTGCCCTCCATGCTGGTCACAATCAGTGAAGCAGCAGCTGCACGCCCAGTGCCAGGCCGGTGGTGGCCCCCGCCTTCAGGCTGCCTGCAGGGATGGGGGCCCTGTTACACAGTTCACCATCGCAGCAGGTGGAGATGAGGCTGTAGGTGGCGCCCTCGTAGGTGACAGCCTCCTCATTGCCGCATGAGGTGGTTTCCATGCAGCCTTTGTTGATGACGGGGCCGAGGCCGGGGGCTGTTCCTTGGCCCATGAAGCACTCCTCATCGTCGCCACAGGTCATGGGGATGCCGGCGCAGTTTGAGGAGTCGGTCAGATCACAGAAGATGCACTCCTTGGCGCCTGTCGCGACTTGGGGCAGAGCCACCACCAGGAGCAATAGCCAGCCACGGACCATGGTGGCCTGGTGACACTGGGTCTCCTGGTACTGCTGAATGAAACTCCGCCCACCCACAAGACTGTCCCACCTGGTTCTGGCCTCCCAGGCTCAGCACTTGGAGTGTCCTTGGTTCCCACTGCTCCGTGTCCCTCTCAGGAGTGTCTTTCTGAACACAGTTCCTGAGTCTCAGGATCCCAGAAGCCTCCCAGGGACAGAAACCAGCCAGTGGCTGCTGCCCGATGAGAGTACTTGTGGAGCGGAATGAGGTGACCTCACAGACCCCTCAGGGTTCCGCTGGCCACTCTGGGGGTGAGGTCATGGTGGGGGAGGGGTGTCACAATCTGAAGGGCAGGTTGACCAGCTTACTTGCCAGGGAGCAAGGACATGGACACCCCATCGAGGTCAGAACACTCCACCCAGCACATACCATCCTGGCACCTCTGCTGGGTGCTGTGCCTGCCCATTGCCCATGCGAGCCCTTTTTTCAGATGGGCAAACCAAGGCTCAGGAGGAGAAAGTGATGTGTCCAAGGCCCCAGGGCCAGAATTTGAGCCCAGGTTTATTTAATTTCAAAGAGGGCATTTATTGAGCACCTGCTTTGTGCAAATCCAGTGTTAGATGCTTTAAATAGCAACCGCTGTGATGACAGGACTCACCACAGCTCATAGGCTTGGGCATGTGATGGGCACCATGCAGGGAACTCGGCCCATGTTCTCTCCTTTGAATCTGAGTATTAGCTCCATCTGATAATAAATAAGAAAATATCAAATATTGAAGCATCCCTGATATTATGTTTTCAAGGTAGCATTTAAACTGACATTTTAGTCCTGAATTCTGCAGTTTGGATCAAATTATACACTATAATTATATTTTCAGGTTTGAAGACAGTGAAGAACAAGTCGATTATAAGACATTTTTCAATGCCCTGAACTGGAGAACAAATCCGGCGCCCAAATTAATCCAAGAATTACCCTTGAAAGAGGTAAAATTAATACCTGTTTTAAAAACCAGCTGTGGTATCTCCCTTTCATTTTCACCCTTTCATTCTTAATAATATCCTTTACCTTAAAGTCATTTTTCTATGTAAAATATTAACATCAAACTTATGTATTTGGGTATTTGTGTTAAAGGATAATTCACTTTCCATGCTGAGCGAACATCTGTTCTATAAGAGGATGACTTTTCTTATGCAGCTGAATTTTTTAACCTTAGTCACATCCAATTACATGGAAGATAGGATAATAGGTTATAGTTATAAATAGATATAAACACTGTTATCAAGGGATTCTGGTAACATCATCATGAGCCACAAGTGCAAATCTCAAATGGTGAATATGTCAAGAATCCCCAGCGTATCTGTGGCTGCACACACAGGTTTGCCTTGGGTCAAACAATACAGTATGTGGATGCACATTTCACAGTGGAGCCAAATTTAAAATGAAAATTTAGTAGAAAAATGCTTGGTTAGGGAAAACAAATTTCATGTGATCAGATGGTGCTCTCAACGTTGTGGAATTGTCTAAATTCTCTAGGATCTCTTTGGACCAGTTGTCTTTAAGGAGTGGGTGGATGGGTGGTGGTTTGTTTATATTTTAACATGCTCCAGAAATTGATTTTCTTGGGAAAATCCCTTGATAAAGCAAATGTCATGTGTTTGATACTCCCAGAAAAGAGGCATTTATTCCTCCTGATCTCTGCTGACCAGCTCACTTTGGCCTGGCCTGGACTGGTGCCCCTGGGGAGTTCCCTCAGGCATGTAGCTATCCTGGAGTGTCAGGCAGCTTTAGAACTTCCAGATGATTGGGAGACAGTGATGGCCTTTGGAATAAAACAGAACTAGGGTTGAATTCTGGATCAGTAACTTCCTTAACTAATTCATTTATAATTAAATTTTATTCTCAGACACATCATGATTAAGTGTAGACTCTCTGGAGGTTCCATGTTCTGTGCTGGGGTCCAGAGAAAAAGGTCAGGGGCCCACTATTGATAGGGGAGTCAGTCAATATACTCATGATTTGGAGGATGGCACAATACAGCCTGCGTGGGATGTAATGGGATGAGGAGGGAGCTACTTATAAGTCAGACTGGGATTGGGGAAGGACAGGAAGTCTTCTCAATGGAGGTGATGCTTGAAGTTTCATTGATGAATACTAAAAGTTAGCAAGGTAAGAAAGTGGCATGGTATGGGAAAGGCATTTACAAAAGACACTCTGGGACATGGGACAGCATGGCACTTGTGCAGAACCAGGAGGAAACTGTGGCTGGAATGAAAGCACAGAGGGAATAGTGGAGAAGGATAAGGCTGGAGATAACTGCAAGTATAAGTTTTGAATATTGTCCTGCAATATATAGAGACCATGGACAAATTCTAAGGAAGATAGTTACGTGTTTAGGTATACCCTTTAAAGGGAGCTTGGTCTGGCTGGATGGTGGGTAGATTAGAGAGGGAGCATGGAGATCCATTAGAAGGCTCAGGACTACCGTCATCACCATAATAACAGCAAACAACATTTACTGTGTGCTAAGCGCTGTTCTAAGACCTCCAAATCTATTAGCTCATTTAATACTCATAGCAATCCTATGAAGTAGATACTTTTATCATTCCCATTTTAGAGATGAGGAAGTTAGAGAACTAACAAGGGTTTGGTAGAGTCAGAAGTCTAACTCAGATCTGTTTTACTGCAGAGAATAAAAAAGAAAAAAAATCTGATAAATATAATTATAAATGAAGATACAGGATTTAATGAACTAAAATCCAAGATATCATCACAGAAAATAATACTGTCATTTAATAACCTTTTCATTCTTATCCATGTAAATATTTAATTTTTACATACAAATTATAGAGTTTATATTCTACCTTTTCATTTAATGTTATGCCATTATGTGTTGAATATCATCCATTTGCCCCATGAAGACTTTTCTCCAGCCTCCCTCTACCTTTGCTCTGAATCCCAGGCAGCTGACCTTTGCCAGCTGCATCAGTGGGGCTTGAGCCCTCTGGCCTACAATTGGGTTGGCCAATGGAATGCAACAACAGGAGAGTGGAGGGTGGGTGGAGAGAGAAATCATCTCCCTCCCTGCCAGTCACGAGACATTGACTGCCTCCTTGAACCAAGGTCCACAGCACCTATCCGGAGGCTCTCTCCTTACAGCTGTCCACTCCAGGTTCTGATAAGCACCCTCACATGGCCCTTTAGCCCCGGGTGATGGTAATGGCACCCCACTGCTACAATCCTCGAGGGAATCGACGATCCCCTGTTGGTTTCCCTAAACACTTCCAACAACTTTTTACATATTTATTTTATTAAACTCTTCTCAACTTCCACAGTTTGTATATGTGCTCTGTTTCCCATGGGATCCTGAATGAGACATGTACTTATTTCTGCTAGTTAGCAACTGTCTTTGTTGTTCTTTTCCTCACTTTCTACTTCTCTCCTTTTTTCTTTTCACTCAATCCACCACCCAAATGTTTACCTGTGTGTTGGGGATTTCATCATCTGTTGTACAAAAATATAGTCATGCTGTATGCATTTATCTTCAGTGTGTTTTTCTCACTGAATAGTAAATCATGGGAAATTTTTCTAGTTTAATACGTATAGACCTCAGCCATTCTTTAATAAGTGTAGTGTGGATATAGAATAATTTATTCATCCATTTCAAATCTTACATGGTGGCAGGCAACTGACAGGGGAGTGGTTATGCTAGAAGAGGCCATGGAGGAGTTGGACCAGGTGTGTAGGTTGGTGGATCCCAGTTGGGCAGAGAAAACCTGTCACTTAGATCTTTGGGGATCACTAACATTTGGGGAGCCTGCCATAGCAAAAAAAATCCCATGTGGGACTTTAGGACAAGATCCACCAGGCTGTGAAGCACTGAGCCCTGAGTGTGATGTGACAGTATTCAAGTTTTCTTAAGAACAAGGAATAGTAGGCTTAGCTACTGTGTGGAGGCCAGGGGTTGGGCATCTGTATGCTTCCTTCAGTTTATGAGTTGGTCAGGCTGGCTGTGCCTGAAGCTCCAGAGATGCCATGAATAAGATCTCTAGAAGTTATTGGCACCTGCCACCACTTAGAACCTGGATGTCTTTACTCCTGGACTGAATGTTATCCTCAAGAGGATCTCAGTCCTGAATTCTGGATCTTACTGAGAAATGAACCGGGACTTCTCAACTAATTGAAAGCTAAACAGGACTAGGTACTAGATTCAACACCAAATATGTTCGCAACAGCATTAATGGATGAAATGTGCGGTAAGGGTGGGGATTTGAGACACCTTCCCAGTGTAGCCTGTTTAACTGAAGTTAATGAGTTGAACAGGGAGGAGCCAAAAAAGAGGAAAAGAACCACAGGTGTCAGCCAACCAGAGGCTGAGTAGGATATGGGATTGGAAGGGCAGGGCATCCGGGAATTTCAGCAGGGATCTCTCCAAAACAGGGAGTACAGTGGTCTGGAATCCTGAAGTTAGCATTATTCAGCAATCAGAGGCTAGTCAGCAGGCTTGAACTGAGCCTTCAGTCCTGCTCAGGGGACAGAATAGGCTAAGTCACTGTACCAGTGAGGTTTCATCAGGAAATACACACATAGTACACTCAAAGGAATCAGGGATATGGATTTAATGAAGGGACTCTTGACAGAGGAGTGGTAGGGTTCAGGAGAACCAGTGAGGGCAGTGGAGCACTCAGGGACTAGCAAGAATGGGAAGGCTTTACTATTCCTACGTCTGAAGAAGCAGAGGTGGGTGGGTAGTATTATTGTAGCCCAGTGCAGAAGTTAGAGCATGTCAGAAGGTAGAGGAGTGTAGCCACTGCCAAACCATGGCCAGGAAGGGAGTAGAGGAAGGGGAAGTGGAATCAATACCCTGATCTCTTGCTACTTCACATTGGCTGGACCCACCCAAAATCCAGAGAACAAGGAAGCTCAGGAAATGATGCCATCCACAGAGGTTGGCCTCAGTGCGGAGAGCTCAGTGAAAAAAAAGGAAGGGCACAAAATGGATCTTGAAGGGGCAAATGATGAATGATCCAGCACAGTGGTCGGCAAACTGCGGCTTGCGAGCCACATGCGGCTCTTTGGCCCCTTAAATGTGGCCACAAAGTTTCAATCGCACTGTACGTGCACACCCACACGTGGTATTTTGGGGAAGAGCCACACTCAAGGGGCCGCAGTTTGCTGACCACTGATCCAGCATAGTCTGCTACAAGAATAAAGACTTGGGCTCAGGAGAACAAGCCATACAGTGAACATATAAAGCCAGATTCAGACTAATAGCTCCTGGATCGGTCTGCTGGATGTCAGGACTGGTTCCCTGGACTCAGATGGGGCTCCCCTACCTGTGATGGTTAGGTGAGCGCAGCTAATAGGGCTGGGGCCTAACAGCAAATTAGTAAAATTTGTAAGTAGGACTATGATTGTAGCTAGCCCCGCTTTGATTAGTCCTACTGCCCTTTGGTGAGAGGATTTCCTACGTTGATGTGTGTAAGCTGACATCCACTATGACTGTTGACTATGGCCTAGAGCCTGGATTCTCAGGAGCTCCCTTAGCCAGGCCTCTGCCTGGCCCCCACACTGGGCCTGTAATTTAACTCTCACTCCATTATGTGACTATCTATGGTCTCAGCATGTGGCCCCGACTCTGTCACAGCCTGGAGACCCCCTTTCCATTCTATTGTGCTTTCTCACAGATGGTAGCTGTAAAACTGGAAAAATAGGTCCCACTGTTTAGAATCGGTCTGGTTAATCTCAGAAGTCACATTAAAAAAAATAACACTAAAATCAGTCCTCATATAAACTTTATAAGTTGCACTGGGTGACTGGTGTCTTATCTTTGGACGTTTCTGAGAAAAATTGGATGTGGCTTCATTTCATAAGCTCTGGAACTGCAGAAGCATTCACAAATGGCTCTAAAGCTCTCATGTCACAACAGTATGATATATACCCTTGGCAGTGGGAGTAGGGGACAGTTTGGTGCACCTTGGGATAT